GGGGCTAGAATTCACACCCCAAGGCATTCTGGGAAGAAATTCTGCAGTGGCTTAGAGATAGGAAATATAGGAAGGACGAACAAATGGTTCCAGGTGTGAGAAGGAAAATAAAGTTTAAAATCACCTGAAGCCTAACAGAGCTCCACACCCAGATGGAGCCGCAGGTCTTAAATGTCAGCTGATAAATTCACATCATCAACGAGGAAACTGAGGCTGTCATGCCCTGGGCCCACGCTAGGACAGGAACACAGGCCTCGCAGAAGCTTTTAGTCCTGCTCTCTTTCTAGGCTGAGACCTCTAAACACCAGCTCAGAGATCAGCCATCACTTCTCGGGCCAGTGCTTTGGATAGGCTCAAGACTCAGATGAGGACAATGACTTGGGTGCTCTAACCAGACCCTGCTCCAGTCTCCAGGTGAGAAATGATGAGGCTGGCCTGGAACCAGGGATCAGACACCCTGCAATCACCAACCCACCCTACTGCCCAAAAGTCCAACAAATGTGCAGCAAGAATCTTCGTGACACTGTAATTGGCTGTTTGTTAAAAACAAAAAACAAAAAACAAAACAAAAAGAAACCTAACTCTACTTTACTGCTTATCTGGGCCCTTCTCTGCCCCAGGCTACATGTCAGACTGTGACTGCTGGTCTACCAGCTCTTTCCCATCAAACTCCTTATCAGAGCTTCTAGCATCTCAGGTGTGAGATCCTGACCACATTGCCAGGTACCTATGACATGGGCCAGAGGAACATCAGCCATTTTCTACCATGGAATTGATAACCTTGGACATTTTTCTATTCTGCTATATACTCCCATCTTATTGAAATGAACATGAGCCCTGGTAGTGAGGTGGTTTAGCACTTGGCTGTTACCCAAAGGGTCAGCAGTTCAAATCCACCAGCCAATTTGTGGGAGATAGATGATGCCGTCTGCTTCCCTAAAGATTACAGCCATGGCAACCCTATGGGGCAGTTCTTCTCAGTCCTTTAGGGTTGTGATGAGTTGAAATTGGCCTGATGGCATGGGTTTGATTGAAAGGAAACTTTCCAAGTTTAAGAAATTGCTAAAAAAAAAAAAAAAAAAAAGTGAAGTTAATGTATGAAGAAGCAGCCCATGCCACTCTTGGTACCCTTTTTCCTTCAGTAGATTTGATGCCAAGGTCTAGCTGGCTAATTGCATGGCAAAATTCTCCTTAAACTTCTTAGGCTATGGATGTAGGGAACCGTCTGTCAGCTATGGTCAATTCCAGCTCATCGCGACCCCATGTCTGTCAGAGTAGAGCTGTGCTCCTTAAGGTTTTCAATGGACGATTTTTCAGAAATCGGTCTGCAGGTCTTTCTTGTAAAGCATCAGGGGCGCTAACTTTCCGATTTGTTGTTATGTGCCTTCCAGTTGGACCCAACTCATAGTGACCCCTCCTTGGGTTTCTGAGGTGGTTATCACTACAGAAGTAGATTGCCTAACCTTCCATCTGAGGAGTAGCTGGTGGGTGTTAACTGCCAGCCTTCTGGTTAGCAGTCAAGTGCCTTAGGCACTATGCTAATTTTCCAACTGCTTGCACCACCCAAAGATTCCTGCAGGGAATTCCTAAAGGGATTCAGTAGGGTCCCTAAGAGTCAGAATTGACTGGATGGAAGTGGTTTGGGTTTTCCCGTGTGTACAACACCAACACCACCTTGGTTCCTCTTACCCCCCTCGACTGAGGTAGAAAAAAGGGTAAACAGCAAATGCTGCTGCAAATATCCATCCGAAATGGTAATTATTGCATCACTGTCTTTGCTATTTTACTTGTCATGTACCATTAGAAGGTAACAAGACCATTGTCAGTCAAAGACTGTGGAGATAATTAGAGCATCTATAGGTTAGCAGGAAATCAAATTGGTGCTGGTAGCAGTCGATGCCAAGGAGCTGAACATAATTAGGGGGAAATATGCCAAGGTGGAGATGAATCAAGCCCCAGGGATTAACTACCGTGACTGATATGAGAGTTTCACTCTCCTTGGCTTCTGACATTGCAGATGGTGCCATGAAGAGATGTGTACAGTAGAAAGCAGTGAGGTGCGTGGCCAGAAACAGCAAACCAAGACGCTGCTGACAGTGTCGGAAGGTCCCGAGAAGGAAAACCACAGTGCTTATCCTGTTTTCCAATATACTGGTTTTTCAAGTCGCTTTTTCCAGGCTAGGAGTCAGGTACTAAGATACACAAACAATGTTGAGTGAAGTGGGCTCTGACTGAAGCAGTCACTCATCTCTTAGCAGCCCATGTCCCCAGCCAGGAGGATCTTTCCATGAGCCCCTGGGCATCCCACACACCCCTGCGGTGCAGCAGTCACCTTCCTCCTCCATTCCAAATACAAAGCCACCCAATCTCTGCCTGCTTCCATCTCCGATTCCCACTCAGCATCCTGCTAACCTGGCCTTCTGAAGACAAAGACAGGGTGGTTTTTTTTTTTTACCCCAGTAAGACACAGACACCAACCCAAACAAGCTCATCCAAACAGCCATTTCATCAGGTTGACACAAGAAGGAACAACATTTACATCTTGGAAAACAAAAGATTTTGGAAGACAGGGAGAAGTTTGCAGACAGGTGACTCAATTTGCCACGTAACTCAACGAGACACAGAGACAGTAAAAAAGGTAGCTGGAAGGTCTTAAGGGACACACTGATTCCACAGAGATGAGGACAGGCAGACTGTCAGCATCGGATTTCCCTTCAATGAGCATGAAGCAAGGGCGCAGTTCTGGAGTCGGCCCAAGACCTAAACAGCTAACTCGGCCCCCAAGCACGCTCACTTGTAACATCCCGAAGTACCCTGCTGTGACTTTGACAGTATTCTGTTTTGGATATGCAAAACAAAACAATACAACATAAACCATTGAGAGCTGACACTATGGGCACCACGGTCCTCAGACACTAAGTGGCGGGTGGCTGAGGTGGGCAGAGTGGCCGGCCATGGTAGTCGGCCTCCTGTGCCCCCACGGGCTGGTTTCCGGGTATCTCTACTTACAAGCATAGCTTCTCCCCTATGGTGATGATAGCCACCTCACACACACAAGCAGCTGGAAGCTTACTTCACATTTTTTAATAACATGGCACAGTTTACATTACACAAGAAGTCTCCGCCGATGAAAACATGCTGAAGATTCCGTTGCTGCATTTTCTCTCACATAGGCTCTAGAAAGGACTTTTATTACATACAGGATAAACAGCAACAAGATCTGTACAGAACAATCTCTTTACAATACTGAAAACTACCACTACAGTTCCAGTGTACATATTCCTTGGATTTTTTTTCAGTTGTCTTTAAAAAACAAAAACAAAAACAAAAAAAAAAAAGAAACACTGCACAACATCTGGAGTTCACAAAATCTGAAGCTCAGAACTAAACCTTCAGTTACTACTAAAATAGATCTCTCTGCTCATTAGAAACAATGGTCTGTAGTTAACATTTTTTTTTTTTTTTTGCAAAAACAGGATAACAACGTCAGATAGCACTTTCATATACTAGAAGACCAAATGGAACTAATTTTATTTCGTACATGTATTTTACAGTCCAATAGACAAGATATATTGTATTTCTTTGCTAGTAAAATCATATTCTCTCCAAATATGTAGACAAGAGGCTTAATGTATTATAAAAGTATCGTGAAGAGACTGTTAAGAGTGATGCCAACTTAAAAACACACGCACACACTAGACTTTTCTCTGCCACCTTCCTTCCCCTCTGTAACTCTCCAGATGGCTACACGAGGTTGGACCTGTTCTGGCTAAACCCAGACTCTTGACTTCCAACTGGCGTAACGTCTCAGTAGGAGATCTGTACCTTAAACTCTGCAGTTATCGAATACAATGAAAACATATCCATCATCTGAGAAAACGTAAAGCTTTCTTTCAGGATCTGTTTGGCTGTAACTGACTCACGTTACCAAACAAGGAAGTGTGTACGGAGATGAAAAATGCATGGTTCCCACATGAGGTGTGTGTGTGACATCCCATGACTCACGGGGACGGGGTTCCGCTGACCTGTCTGCGCCCGATGGTGGCCACCCACCCACCCCCGTCTGACAAACCCCATCTGCCTTGGCCTGACTGCTCATGTCCTCAGTGACCTTTCCGGTGAGGCCACACCTGCCCTCCCCTCCCCTCATGCCCACAGGCGGCAACTTTAGATGCAGATTTCCAGCCTGGGGTCCGATCTGCAAAATCGGATGATTCTCCATTTGGAAAATAAAAATAAAAAAACACAAGCAAGGAAAACAGAGTCCTATCACGTAAGCGCTTGTTCAGGGAAAATATGACCTTAAGGATGCTGTAATGGGTTGGAAAAGGCTCCTTAGAGTTGAGCGGGCTTTGGTGAAAAGCCCTAACATTCATTGCATAGTTGAAGGGTTTAGCTGTCTATAACAATATATGGGAACACAGTCGGGCCGACCGCGTTCACGGCTATGAAGTTTGCAAATAGTACATTTAAAGAAGTATTCATGTATTATGTTACTTAATCTTTTATCTACTTACATTTGTACAAAGTAAAGCTTTCATCTTACCCTTTTGCATATATGAACCATTAGCCCGTGAAGCAACCTTTGTGTACAGAACTTTGTACAGGCCCCCCCTCTTCTCAATGGAAACGGCTTCGCACCGTGGATTGTGTGAACTCCCCCCGCCCCCCCAAACCATTATCAAATCTGTGTGTGTTGTCTTGACGGTTTTGGTTCAAATCAAAAAGTTTTATACGAGAGAAAAAAAAAAAAAAGGAGACTTAGGAATAGAAGACTTGGCTAAAAGATCTGAAAAATTTCAACGTAGAATATACAAAAACATTTCAAAATCTGCACTTGGGTCTGTACATTTTTTTACAAAGGGCTGAGCCGGGGGCTTGCAGGCGCCCAGTCTGGGCCGAGCCCTGGGGCTTGCCTCGCCCGCCCGCTCGCTCCAAGGCTCCAAGTCTCGGGGTGGCTGCGGAGGGTCTCCGGCTTCCTCTCCCCGCCCCGCCTCTCCTCATCGGGCCTCGATGTCCTTCAGGGTGTGGGACGGCGGCCGCTCCCTCATCTCGGCCGACAGAGGCGTGGTCCTTCGCGGGGAGACCGGGCGGCCCCCCAGCGTGGAGATGAGTGGCGGCGGCGCGCTCAGCGCGGCCGTAGGGGGCGTCTTGTTGAGCAGGCCGTTCTGGTGGCCCGCTGTGGGGCTGATCCTGGGGTAGTGCATGCTGGGTAGCCCCGGGGTGAGGAGGCCCGGGTGGGGCAGGTGTCCGTCCAGGGAGGCGGGGTGCACCGGGTGGAGCCGCGCGTGCTCGTAGTCCTCGCGCAGCACGTGCAGGCGCTCGCGCTCGTCCAGGTGGGCGCCGCGCTCATGCTCGCGCCGCGGGTCCACAGACAGAGGGTGCGGGTGGTGGTGGTGGTGGTTGTAGTCGTGAGGCTCCCTGTCCCGGAAGGAGCGGTCGGCGTCGTACAGCCGGGGCGTCGACAGGCGGTGGAGGGGGTCGCTCCGCAGCAGGAAGTCCCTGCCCAGAGGGTCTCTGCGGTGGATGTCCAGTTCCCGGTAGGGGTCCCTCAGGGGGTCCCGGATGGGGTCCCAGTGGAAAGAAGGGTACGGGAAGCGTTCTCCGCCCGGGATGGGGCTGAGGCCCATGAAGGGCGTCATCATGCGAGTCCTGTCCAGGCTGCTGATGCTGTTGACCGGGTGGATGCCCGCCACCCCCACCGCCATGGGCATGGAGGCCAAGGGCCCCGGGTGCACGCTCGACGAGGAGCTGGGAGGCGGCGGCTCCGCGGCCCGGTGGGTCTGCGGGGCCTCGGGGGCCAGGTCGTGGTCCTCCTTCCGCTCCTCCTTCACCTTGACCTCCGCGCTCTTCTTGGGGTTCTCGTAGGCCGGCTCGCCCTTGCGCTGCTCAGCCTCGCGGCTCGAGGTGCTGTTGGGCCTGGCGCTCTCCACTGCGGGGGTCCGCACGTAGGGGGACGGCCCGCGCACCAGCTGCTTGGCCTCGTCGGCCCCAGAGCGCCCCTCGTGGCCGTGCCCATCCTTCTCGGGCAGGTGGCCCTCCTTTGCCTTGTGCTCGTCGGTTGCCAGGTCCTTGCGGGACTCTGAGTGGTCGCGCTCCCTCTCCTTGGGTTTGTCTTTCTCCCGAGCCTCAGTGTTCAAATGACCCCTCATCTGTTCGGTGGAGCTGCGGCTGTGTCCCAGGGTATTTACCGGGAGGATAGGTGCTGGTGACGGATGGCTGGAGTGTCTTTTCTCAACGCTTTCCCTGAGGACGAGAGAGGGACACAGGGAGCAGGTGAAATGAGCTTGTAGGCCTGCAGGCGGCGCCAATGAGATGGGTGTGAAAGGACGTGTTCAGGCCCACGGTCGGCCTGCAGGGGGCGCCAATGAGATGGGGGCGTGAAAAGGACAGGTACAGGCCAGGGGTCTGCGGCCACCAAGGCCTCGGACATGCCTCTGCGAGGACACAACCAGCCACCCTGCTCTGCCTCCCCTAGATGTTAGAGCACGCTTTAGGGGTGAAGCCCTAGGAATGAGGAGAGGGGAGAGTCTGTTTTCAAGAGTCACGTGCCTCAACCAAGATCCCAGAGGAAGACTTCAGAACGCCAGCCTGGAATGCCAGCGCTGGCCAGTAAGTCAAAGAGACAATATGGTCCGCCTGGCTCAATTCTCAGGACGATCCGTTTCAAGAACGATGCGTGAAGAGCTCACATGCAAACAGGATTCTCCTTCTAACTCTGACAACACGGAGCCAGTGGGACTTGCACAAATTACCATTAAGAGCCTCTCACCGCTGACATGTGTGACAAATGACCAGTTTCAGGGGAAAGAACACGGTGGATACAGAGCAGTATCCGAGACATGGTGCGTGAGGGAGGGCGGAAAGGAAACTACCATTTCAGAACACTCGGTGCAAAAGATACTCTCTGCATCAGGAAGGGTACCCAAACCAGAGTCCGACGAGACGGTAGAGGCAGGCCAGCAGAAATGCAGGCCCATACACACACAACCTCACAGGCAAAGCGAGGGGACGATTTCCAGGGCATCGGTGAGCAATGAGGTGAAGCCAGGCGGAGAGGCCTGTCCTGGGCCAGGGCTTTAAAGGACCAGGCAGCAAATGCAAAGCAGTGGAATGAAATGAAGATGAAACTTGGAGTCTGGAGGAAGAAGCGGGCAAGCTTTAGCAACAGCCCTGTGACTGACTTTGTGGTGGCAGCAAGAAGCCGAATGTCACCTTGGCTCAGTAACCAGGAACAGAAGACAAGGACAGCGGCAGTAGGAGAATGGCGGAAGTCCCCCTTAAAGCTGTGCTCCCAGCCAGCAGGCAGAAACAAAGGCTGAGCTGAAACAGGAACGTTTAAAAGGTACGGAAAGAAGAAGAGTGCATTGTACTTCAGTTTCCTGACTTTCATCCAAGAGGCCATTTCATGTCCATCGAGAAAAGTTTTGCTGCCACAGGGAGGCAGTTTTCTCTCCAGTGACAGATGGTCTAAAGAGGGCCCATGGTCTAGTGTCTGTCTACTGTTAGGTGGGCCTGACTTCAGCAGGTGACAGGTCAGGCTGAACGTTCTAGATGGTCCTCCCACTGGGTAAGAGATTTGTGTCATGCTGCCTTGAAAGGAAATCTGTCTTCTTCTAAGAAATTAACCAGTTTCCACAACAGCCTAGGCTGAATAGCAGGTAACTTACATACAGAGCCTGCAAAGGTGGATTCCTTTAAATTACTAGGAGGGACAGGGACACAAACACCCCCACACACCCCCACACACCCATAGTAAAGACAAACTAAGACAACTGGCATCCAGTTTCAGTCTTAAGCACCAAAAGGAAATTATGATTAGGTATTTCCTGTTAAGTTTATTTTGTGTACTCGGTGGGTAGTGCAAATGGTTAACGCGCTCAGGTTGGAGGTTCAAATTCACCCGTCTCAAAGGAAGACATAATGATCTACTTGTCAAAAACCAGCCTCTGAGAAGCCACAGAACACAGCTCTACCCTGAACCACGTGGATGGGGTTGCGGGAGTTGGAATAAACTCAACAGCAACTGGCTTTTTTGGGGGGTTCTCTTTGCTTATCAGTTTGCTCCAGAAAAATAAACAAACAACATAAAACAACAACAAACTGTCAAGAATGCTCATGACATTCCTTAGAAGACACGCCCTAAGACATCTTCCACTTCAAGGCACAAGTTCCCCAGTATGGAGGTAAAAATGGTTAGTGCAGTCATCCACCCGCAAAATACAGAAACCCCTCCGCGCTGACGTTTCTCTAAAACTAGGTTAGTAAAATTTCAGTAGTCAGCTATGAGCCCCAGGATTTGAGTTTCAGCAAAATTTAAGGAAAAATATGATGAGGCCATGCAAACGTGACTTTCTAGAAGAAAACAAAAAGAAAGTGGGAGAAAAACCTATGGATGAAGTTAATGGACTACACGAATTGTAAAGCAAACATGGAGCTGATTTCATGCCGTGTGTGTTGGGTCCAAGGTCTGACTCACTGTCTTTTGCAGAAAGAGTTCTACCTGGACACGCTAGTGTTCATGGGAACTGTGGGCATTCTCCATGTCGGACGGCTTCCAAGTTGGGCATGGGCCCCTACCCTATGCTCACATCCTACGGGCGGGAGGCGCTACGGGGCCTGAGGTGTTCGCTTGGGGAGGACGGGCCTGCTGCGTCACCGTGTGGCGGTGCTGTGGCTCTGGGCTGGGTGGGAGGGTGGCCGGCCGGTGACACTGGTGCGTGGTGCAGAGGGGGCTCCCCCGTGGGGGCTCGAGAGCGGTTTCTTTGCGTACCTTTCTTTGTCATCTTTACTAACGGAGTCCCGTTTATCTACATCTCTATCTCTGTCTTGAGCGGCAGCGGACGCGCTGCGCTCCAGCTCCCCCGGCTTCAGCCAGGGCGGAGGGGTCGGGAACGACGGTGGTGTGCGATGCAGCCGGTTCCAGGGCTCGTGAGGGTTGCTAAAGGTCTGCACACTCGGGCCATCCTTGTGGCCGAACACTGAGTTGGGTGCTGAAATGGTGAAGTGGAGAACAAAAAGGTTTCAGAGAACTTATAGCACCTGCCGGAATGAAGGTACTTACCAAAAGCTCCTAACAGCATTCAGACTTAAAATGAATACATATTATTGGGAGCTGGAAAAGGAAAGGAGATTAACAAAATTCATTAGAGGCACGCTTGTCCTAGCCTGAAGAGGTAGCTCACAGCTTGCTTTCTTTAAAAACAAAAAACAAAACCCAAGGCCAAGGGGAAGTGGGGCGATTAAAAAGGAAAGGGATCCAACAGGCAGTGAGAAACCTACCCAAGCCTATTGGTGTAGCATGCAGAGGGCGTGTTATGATGGAGGGACTCAGAGTGGTGTTCAAGGTTATCCCGTACCCTGCAAGGCCCTGGTGCCATGACTGCTACTCCTTCCAGAACCCGAGCAGCCTAAAACACGGGTTCTCAGGGACTAGGCGGGGCCGCTGACCTGAGCAGGTGCCCACAGTCTCCACACGACACTTTTAAGTAAAGAGCTAATTGTGGTCTTGTGCTTGGAGCTGCATCATAGGGCCCTGAACTGGCAGGATATTATCTATACATGAAAGACAACAAGGGAGATATTCAGATACCAAAACGATGTTGTGAGTATTTAGGGACTGAAACAACACAGGTGCTGTAACCCTCTGCCTGACAACCGTTCCAATAGCAGAAAACGGCAACATCCTTCCAGATTAAGGAGAATTTTTTTTTTTTCCTCCTTAGTACACAATTATGAAATGTTGGCAACTCTTGGCTGTCCTAAGCCTAGTGTTTCTGCTGGTGTTCCTCACTGAGCTCTGTCAGGGCCACTTATGCCAAAGGGAAGACAAAACTGCACACTGTTTCCACTTCTAATGGGCGTGGTGGCCAAAGGCTTGGGCAGCAGAGACTGACGGTAGATGAAACCATGAACTGAAGTAACCTTGCGGAGTTCAATCAATCGCAGGACCACCCCTGACCTGCAGCTACATCTATGCACAGAGGGCTATACAGGCATTCCTCGTTTCATTGCGCTTCGCAGATACTGCACCCCTTCCCCACCCCGAGTGGAAGGTCTATGGCAAGCCTGTGTTGAGCAATTCTGTCAGCACCATCTTTCCAACAGTATGTGCTCACTGTGTGTCGGTTTGGTCATCCTCAGTGTTTCACACTTTTTCGTTATGCTCCTGCACACGTAACAGGCTACAGTGGACAGTACCCATCAGGGGACCAAAAATCCGGGTGACGCATTTTATGGCGCTCTTTGCTTTATTGCGATGATCTGGAACCCACAATACCCTCCAAAGTATGCCTGTACTTCCCATGAGCATTTTGTTGCCAGTGCACCTGCGTACCCAACTCCTTCGTTCACGTTTGCTTTTGCAAGGATAACCTAAGAATGTTAATCCAGAGTATCGTTTCCTTTGATCTAGAAAGGTCTTGAGCCAAATACAGGTCAGAGCAGATCAACAGTCCAAGACAAAGTTTAAGAAGTGAGAGGTACTCACTAACTGAAGGGTTTCCAAGTCCCCCGAAGGCATTGCCACCAACTGCTGCTAGGCCTGTGAACGTTGAAGGCCGGTTAAAAGGCTCTGCAAACCAGATGAGGAAGAACAAAATAGTCCTCAGTCTACACGTGAGGGACATAAGGGTCGCCGAGGAGCCGGCAGTGTGTGAACCTTCCCACCACCCCCAGCCCTGGATGTCCCATGCCTCCTACTGGATTTTGTACAAGGTTTTCATTGCATTTGGGTTTAGGCCTTTTTGGTTATAAAAATATGTCTGAGGGCTGTTTTTCTACAGCTGTGCCTTTGGCACCATTCCTCTTTGCCCAGTGGGCAAAGCTGCAATGTTCTTAGTTCCCCTCCTGGCCCGTTTCTCCTTCCCAGTGGGTACTATAGCCTCTAATGGAGCAGAAGGCCATGCGTGTCTTAAAACACAGTCCTTGATGATGAACTTCTAAAGGAACACACACTGTCTATCCTGCCGTCACGCACACCATTGCCTGTACCTGCATAAACACTTGCAGGAAATATCAGATAAACAAACAGAGGGAGGACAAAGCAAGCCCTTGTACTAAGAAAAGATAAATTAATAGGGCAGTGATATGCAAAGTAATTTAAAAAGAAAATAAAAAGAGCAATGTCTCCTCCTAGTATCATCTTAGATGCTCTGGTAGCGTAGTGCCTAAGGCACTTGAATGCTAACCAGAAGGCTGGTGGTTCAAACCCACCAGCCACTCCTTGGAAGGAAGGTTGGGCAATCTACTTCCATAGTGATACTGCCTTGGGAACCCAAGGAGGGACCACTATGAGTTGAATCTAACTCAGTGGCAGTGAACTTGAAAGCATCATCTTCTCTTTCCACCTCCTATAGGTGAGTTCAGATATGGGCCACGCATTCACTCTCTTTCTCCAATGGCTGCTGTAAATCCGGATTCCCTGAGGTACCAAGGCATGGCTTTGGCCCACTGCACTGTGAGTTACCTCAGACAGAACCCTCACAGAGGACAGGTCGATCCTACAGGTGGACGGCAGGTATTGGTGCTTCTGACAATACCAGCAACTTCCCTGGGGAGGGAAGAGACTAGGACCCGGCCCCCTTGCTGGGAGGAGAGCAGGACCTGCTCAACAAAGGTTTTCTAAACCCTATGTGTTAGTTCAGTCAAGGATGGGTGACTCACCTAGATGAGCAGCAGGGTTAAGAAAGTTGCTGTGATGAGGAGGCGGCCCAAAAGGGGTCCCAGTTGGGTGTGCAGCACCTATGAAGTCAACAAGACAAAATCAGCCTCCATAGGAAGCCAGCCTCCACAGTGCAGTTGCCACCTAGCTGCATAAGGCCCTGGTGAGACAACATGTGGACATCGGGACGTGGCTGGAGTCTACCCAGGCCTGCGGACAACACACAGGTGTTAAAAAGTTCCTGACAGGAAGCAGATGGTCAATTGCCCCCTTTTCTCTTATACACCTGGGATAGCCACTGCCCAAGATGATGACACATGGTATTGGAAACATCCGGATAATGCTGGGGGAGAGGGGACATGTCTGTAATCAACAAAGTTTGGGGAAGTAAGTGTCCAGCAACTGTTTACTGTAGGCCTTCTTGGAGCCATGAATAGGCTCACAGGCCCACTCATTCTCCAAGGGGCACCTGCTTTGTAGAGCATCTCAGGGGACTAATCCGTCACTTTGAGACCACTGTTCCCGAGTCTCCGTGTTCTTGCCCTTGGCTTGGGAGCAGCTGCAAGAAGCTGTGTATTGGACAGAGCTTCTGGTCTCTCGTACGCCCCTTACTGAAGAGTGATGTCTGTCATGGACCCATGCTGACGGGAGAGACACAGCCCCACGGGACGTACCCTGGGCAGTGAGGACCTTCGGTTGTGGGAGCTGACAGCCTCCAAATTGTCTCAACGTTCAGGGCCAAGAAAAGCTCATTTCTTCATGTTTTGTGTTTTTGGGGGGGTAACCTAAAGTCTTATGACTGTATTGCCTTTCTCTGCCTCCAGGAACTCAGATCTAACGTTGCAGTCTCCTTCCCTTTGCCTGCCCTGATCTGCAGTGCCTCCTCCACTGTCTTCTCCAGGAGACAGGCTTTGTTCTGGACAAGAGTTCTGCCAAGGTCACCTGAAGAAACCTCTTTAGTTTATTCCAGGCACGAGCGCCCACCAGTAAGATCAAAGTGGCCGAGTTTAACAAGAATGTGGGGATTATAATACCAGTCAAACGTTTAGCCAAGTAACCATTCGGGGCCAAATCCCATACGACACTACAAAGGGATTACCTTCCACGCTGGTGTGATAAACAGGGCCTGGATTAATAAATATACAAATAACAGTCCCACAATCCTTTGCATCTTGTCTGAGCTTCTGTAAACAAATGCAGATGCCCATAGGAAAACAGATTAAATGAAGGAGAGCTGTCCCTCTCTATATCCTACTAGAACTCAATTTGTGGTTGGGATTGCTCTTCCCTGAGTGGCCAAGGGCCCGGAGTGCCTGGGTCTGAAGAGGCAGCCACACAGCACAGAGCACCCCTGGACAGTGTCACTCGGTGGTCTGTGGGCACCAAGACAAAGAGGGACTATCACAGAGTCACGGTGTCTCAGGTTCTCTTATACAGCCCTAGGTGGTGATGTGTCCTCACATGGGAAGTGCAGAAATGACACCTTGTTGCCACAAAGCGAACTGAGCCTGGCATATTCATTAGCCATTAACTGTCTTGCCAGCTAAATAAAATGCTGGCCACAGGCTGTCCCTGGAGTCCAAGCTAACGAAGGCTTCAGTGAAGACCAGGCCTTTGCAAAGCCCCAGGTCCCCAGGGATGCCTTGCAGTTTCAGAACTATTGAAGCAAAACAAGGTGGTTCATCTGCTGAAACGGAAGCCACAGAGAAATCTCTATTCCTGTCCAGAAATTGCTCTTAATGTCGCCGTGTCTCAGAGCCTAGATGCTATGGAAACAGCCTTTAAATTATGTCCCTAGACAGACAATCCTGAGACCGTAGCAAATTCCATCCACTCCCAAGGGTGACGCACTAGCTGTGGCAGCCAGGCCCGTTATAATGATCATTTCTTGCAATGTGGGTGTTTCTCTCTTCCCGAATGGAAGAGCCTGGGTCCACCAAAAATGAGTCTTGGATAAAAGCCTGGGAAGGTGGCAGGCAGGGAGGATATGAAACTTGTCCCTCAGAATGAGAAACAGGGAGCCGCATGAATATTTATGTCCAGAGAATAAATTCTGCTGAACACGTGGGGTATGAAGTTATGGGATTTGCTACTGGAGAGACCAGACTGAGCTCAGCGCCACTGTTCACAAGTACTGACTGAGGGGAGCTCTGTGCCAGGGCCTGTGCACCCAGCTTTGGGGAAGGCGGAATGGTGAGGAGCCCCCGACACCAAGGGGCTCATTCTCTTCCACCAAACGTTCCTTATGTTACCGCTGTTGTCTGGGTGCTGTTGAGTTGGGTCCAGCTCATAGTGACTCCACGCGACAGAGGAGCACTGCCCCGAAGAGTTTCCCAGGCCGTGGTAGTTTCGGTCGCCTCATAGGCATGTGAAAGCTGGACAGTGAGTAAGGAAGACCAGAGAATAACCGATGCCTGTGAATTATGCAGTGGGTGAAGAAGACTGCCTTCACCACGGGCTGTCAGGAGAACAGCCAGAATGCTCCTTAGCAGCGAGGATGGCTGGACTCCATCCCCCTACTCTGGACGTGTCATCAGGAGGGGCCAGTCCCTGGAGAAGGACCTTGTAAGCATGGGTCAATGACAAAGAGGAGGACCCTCACTGAGACAGACTGCCACAGTGGCTGCAACAATGACCTCAGCCATGGCAAGGACTGTGAAGCAGTGCAGACCGGGCTACATTTCATCCTGTCTTATACAGGGTCACCGTGCATTAGCACTGCCTCCGTAGCACCTACCAACAACAGTCTCTATGAGAGCAGACTGCCAGGTCCTTCTTGTGGAACTGCTGGGTGGGTCTGGAGTGCCTACCTTTCAGATAGCTGCCGAATGCTACACCACTGTGCCACCAGGACTCCATACCCCTTACAGTAACTACCTCTCATTTGTATGCATCTGGAGAAATGGGCACTGTTACCTGAGGGAGGGTCTCAGTCCACCGCCACTCCCAAAGACACACCTGAGAGACACAGGGAGCGAGTGTGCTCAGAGATTAAGAATGACTGATCTCATGAGCAGGCCTCTCCCAGTGGCTTGACACTGTCCCCTCCATCTCCTCTACCATTACACCCACCAGGCTAGCGTGTTAACAGAGGAAACCAGCAACCAACACATCTATCCTCAGACACAGAACACGCCATCAGCAGCTCTCTTCATTGCATGTCTTCATCCTCACTGTCCTATCACAGCACGACAGAGCCTCCTTGTGCAATATTAGCACGTGCTCTGTGTGTACCAAGAGGAAGGGCAACCATAGCCCGATACGCTCCTGGCATCGTTTCTTTCTGAGTCACCTCTGCAGACTTCCCCGTCTTCTTCAACAGCATCTGGCACGCTCGTGAGTTATACCGGTTTAATACAGAAGCAGATAACGAGCCGTAGCCACGAGTCCCCCGAAGAGAAGCTCATTCCTTCCTGTGTTAACGAACAAGGCCACTTCAGTGAAGAGGGGCCCATTTCACTCACTGTGCTGGAATGCTGCCTGGCAAGCTGGCCTGAGTGGTGTTTTAGGTAGAGACTGAGTGGAGCATGGGGCATGAACATCACTGATGTAGCTCCCTGAGAACAGCCCCCCTCCCCACACTCACCAGCGGCAGAAAACAAAGTTGAAGGCCGTGCCAGGTCGTGGGGGTGGTGGATGGCTCCAAAGAGACTGGGGCCCGGAGGGCGGCTCAGGAACTCGGGCTTCAGTCCAAAGTCCAGCTTGTGCGGGTCTGACTGCATCTGTTTCTAGAACAGCAAGGACAGTGAAGGTGAGCCCCTGAGAGGAACAGCAGGGAAGAAGAACCACAAACTCTGTGACTGAAGCACCAGGCCCGTGGCCCAGTCAGTCAGGGCCATGAGAACATCCAGGCGAAGGGCTGCTCGACCCTCAGGGGACAGAAAAGCAGGCCACCTCACGAGGTGTCAGAACTGGCGACTGACTGGGCAGCCCCTGTTCCTCCCACTGGAAACGTCAAGTGACAAAACCCATTTCTCATCTCAGAGGTTACATGGTTTGAGGACTGACACCAGAACCACTTTACTTAAAAAGGCCACCCCACCCTCCTGAGGTCACTTGTCACGTGGTGCATGTTTTCAAGGGAAAGTATTTTAAAGCTCATTTTATTAGGAATTCCACATGAATAATTTGTGTAAATTAATCGTTTGATGACTCTTTGCTGTACTTTAATAGATCTCACTGCGTTAGTGACCGAAGTTATGAAAAAAATCTCGGCATGCCCACAAGCCAATCTGCCAATGATCACTGTTACATGTTAAAAAAGAAAACCAAAGAAGTGGGGGTACTCATTGAACTAATGGGATTTCTCCCTGTTGCTGCGTGCCCCCCAGTTGATTCTGAGTCACAGTGACCCCCGTGGGACAGAGAACTGGTCCACCGGGTTTTTCCTGGGCTGAGGTCATTACGGGAGCAGACCACCAGGCTTTTCTCCCCTAATTTCCAGAGGAAGTGGAAGGGGTGAGTGCACACCAGTAAACTTGCTCTTGTTGCAAATCTGTGCCATTTCTCTACCCTGTTGGTCTCGATTTCTTTGTATTTATCTACCCTCCAAGCTTATCCTCTGCTCCCCTTCCTCTTGCTGTCAGGTGCCACGGAGTCAATTCTGACTCACAGTGATCCCATGTGACAATGGAGAACTGCCCCACAGGGCTTTCTTGGATGTAAGGAAGAACATCTATGGAAGGAGATCTCCAGGATGGGTAGACTCACTGCCAACCTTTTTTGCTAGCAGCTGAGCACTTAGCCGCTGCACCACCAGTGCTCCTTCCCCTTCCTCTGAGACTGGGAACTGGGTCATAATCTTCTTTCCTGTCCTGCCGCTGGTGTTTTTGAGGCTGGCAGTCCCCTCAACAACTTGTTTTCAAAGGTGCCCCACCTTGTGGACTCTCAACACTCTCCCTTCTGAATGACTACAACTGCCCAGAGAGGCTCTGCCCACCTTGGACTGGATGCACCCTGGAGACCCAAAGCTCTGAGTCCCCATCTCCTGTTCCTACAACATCCTTAGCCTATTTCTGGCTCTCTCTCCCGACCCTCAGTCTCTCCCGAAGCTCTCAGTCCATTCAACCCTATTTGTGCCTCACCTCCGACACCTTCATCTTCTGCTTTAAAACCTGTTCTCAAACAGAGAAGTTGACAAGGTGGCATGCGGTACACCATGGCATGAGAATCAGAGGGACGAGGGAAGTCTGTCAGTCCCTTATCGCTGAGGACCAAAGTCCCAGTCATCCATCACTCCCATTTAAAGGAAAACCTATCCAGGTACCTCGAAGGAGTCCTTGGATGGCACAAACGGTTAAGTGCTTGGCTGTTAACCAAAAGGGTGGACATTCGAGTCTGCCTACTGGTGCCTTGGAAGAAAGGCCTGGTGATCTCCTTTCAAAAGTCAGCCATGAACACCATTTGCAGCACAGTACTGCTCGGACACGCGTGTCCACCACGTGCCTGACTCGATCCAACGGCAATTGTTTGGCAGCCATGCCCCTTGGAAACACACAACACTTTCATCCCTTCTTAGGCACACACAGACCCCCACCTACTAAACTCTAGCACCTAGACGACAGGGGAGATGACCGCCAACTTTGTCTCCACAGAGCTGGCACAGTAACCTGCAGGTGGTAGTGCTCTCAGTAAATATCTGGCGACTAAAAGAACGAGTAAACGAATATTAAAGAGAAAAAGAACAATGTAATTTCTGCTAAAATCTACAGGGAATACTATAATGGAAGCACCATTCTCAAGTAATGGCCAACCCCCCAAACCAAGCTTCTAACTCACTATAAATCTATAAACATCTTTCGAGTCCCTCCTTTCATTTGGTTGCCAAATTATTTCACGCTAATACTGCACGGTACACAGCACAGTCCCATTAACCACAACTTAGGTCCACGGAGCAAAACGGAGCCTGGGGGCTATGAGCACTTGCTGAAGACGGAAGGGGAGCAAAGCTATCTTGTGTTCAAGGGTCTCTCTAATTGAATCGGGATAATGAAAGTTGTAGTCACTGGGGACACTTTCATGGAAAGGAGTTGCTAAAGTGTGCACATATGACATTCTTCATTGTGTTTAAGCGAAGAGGTACTGGAAAGATGCGTTCTACCTACAGTTCTGGGAAGCCCATCACCCACAACGAGAAGTGAATTGAATGAAGCATCAAGATCTAGTTAGCTCTTCCAAGCACACTCATTTTCTAACTAAGCTAGACCCTAAGGTTTCTAATTAAACCTTGCCTACCAATAAAGGGGGAGCTAAAGGAAAAATGAGCACAAGTTACTGCTGGGAGGCTGGGAGGCAGAGGCATTTGGCAACTGCAGCCAAGAATCTTCCAGACTTCATTTACCGAGGATTGCTTTATAACTTTTAACTACGTTGGTTTGTCTGTTTCTTCAAGATCACGTAGCCATTTTTTAAACACTCCTTTTCTGTGAGGACTGCTTTTCTCCTCTTTGATTACTGGTCTTGCGTTACTCTCTTGATCCCGATGAAGCCCCCAAATGCTGTTAAGACTACAAATTGTTTATGGACAAATGGATTCACTTAAGCTTGTTGGAGTTATTTGATTGGTTGGTGTCTCCCATTTTTCCAGGCACAGTAACAGACTGTAAATACCCAGATTGTGAAATTGGTACTAGCTACGGTTCCCTAACTCAATCACCGATGGTGCAACAGGTTACTTGCAGAAGTTCTTAAGCTCCTCCCTACTGCATCAGTATAGGGGTCAAATCCCATGGGATGATTTAGTCTAGCACATAGTACACTTCATAGAGACAATGTTCTACATCCTAGTTTTGGGAGTAGTGTCTGGGGCTCTTAAAAGCTTGTGAGCAGCCATCTAAGACACAACTATTGGTCCCTACTCGCCTGGAGAAGGAACTGGACTACAGGACTAATGGTTTCCATGAACCACTGCGTCCTCCACCTTGAGACCAGAAGAACTAGATGGTGCCCGGCTGCCATATCAAACATTCTGACCATGGTCACCACAGACGGATCCTGACAGAAAGGGAGAAAAACATGGAACAGAACTCCAAATTCTCAAAGAATCCAGACTTGCTGGACCCATTGACGCTGGAGGGGTCCCTAGGACTACTGCCTGGGAGCCTCTCTAAACCTTGAAACTATCCCAAGGCCACCTTTTAAATAAAGAGCAGGTTAGCTCAAAAAGAAAATAATGCCACCCTTGAGAACTGCTCTCTTTTTAAAAATTATCTGAGACCAGATGGACCACACTTAAAGACAGTCTAAGGCACAGATGAGAAGGTTGGGGCAGTGAGACCAAGTTCATGGGGATGGAAAAACTGAAATGCAACAGGAGAGTGTGGACACAACATAAGGGACAGGAGCCAAGTCACTGAGTATTGTGCGTGTACGTTGTTGAGTGTGGACCTGTCCTGCTCTGAATACTTTGGCCAAAAATACAATGAAATATTAAAAAGCAGTAATAAGGAAATAAAGTCCCTCGTAAAGCATGGATGTATTCATTTGTATGATAAAATGTAAGATACTGAAAAGACACCTGTGGACAGCTAAGTTCTGACAAGTGGTGACTGTATTCTTACCCTTGACACTGGTCACTAAGAGAACCAGTGGAAAACCTGAACTCTTGAATGATTCTGACTCACAGAGCCCCTACCTAGGGGACAGAGTAGAACTGCCCTAGAGGGTTTCCAAGGTGATAATCTAAGCCCAAAGCAAACCCACTGTCATTCATCGAGTTGATTCTGACACAGTGTCCCTAGAGGACAGAGTGGAAGTGCCCCAGAGGGTTTCCAAGGCTATAATCTTTGTAGAAACAAAGCCCAAACAAACCCACGGCTGTCCAGTCGATTCTGACTCATAGCATCCCTAGAGGACAGAGCAGAAATGCTTTATAAAGGGTTTCCAAGGCTGTTAATCTTTACAGAAGCAGACTGCCTCATCTGTCTCCCGTAGAGTGGCTGGTGGGTTTGAACCACCAAGCTTTGGGTTGGCAGCCAAGTGCTTCAACCACTGTACCACCAGGGCTCCTGGACAAGTGGGAAGGTCACTGCAAATCAAACACTGCTCCTGGGAGGGTGGTTTTCAACAGCGTGCGCTGCGAACGACGTCTAGGGCACCATCTTCAGGTGGGGCACTCAGCACTCTAACATTTGGCCAAAGCCGTAAAGTGAAAAGATGGCACCAATTCTTACATAAATAAAAACTACACTCTCATTATGTAGTTCTTCCCAGACGCCATGTGTTTGTCACATTCTTCTCCTTCCCTACTCTAATTCTTGGTCACTTAGTTAGATTCTAAAACCTTTCATTGATAATTTAATCCATAAACACTTGGATCAATAAGGTGACAAAAATCATTAAATAAAAGGAAAGACAAACCATCAGGGACTTATTGGTATGCTTTTCTGTTGTCACTTTGCTGGTGGCCTCACTAGTTAATAGTAAGATTCCTGAATGGCTTTTCCAACAGGGACTGGAGCCTTCTTGCCTGCGGGTGTCCACAACGCAGACTCCAAAGCCTCCTTCCCCAGGCTCTCAGGACCAGACCACACCCCCCGAGGCTGCCGCCCTGGCCCTCCCTGCAGGGAGCCGGCACTGACCTTGACCTTCTGTTGGTGATGGTAAATCTGCCAGGCGATGTGAACGTGCATAGCACACCACTTCCCTGGTTTCTGGAACAAGAAAGAACAACGTGGTCAGAGGGGAGCCATTTCAGAGAAAACCACCTTCGAGTCCCCCAAAGTTTGTGGCAGATTTTTGCTTCTGAGGCTCGCTTGCTTAACAAGGGTGCTTTGTCCCCTTCTGGTGCCTTCCAGTGGCTGCGGGACAGGCCTAAGTGGGCTCCACCTCCCCCTTCCTGGCAGCCCTGCTTGGCGAGGACCTCCCCAGCTACCAAGGGCAAGACGGTAAAAGCCTGAACTGCACTTAGAGCTCCCCGTCCCCCTAGTCCCCCTTTCTCTTTTCCGGGGCCAGCTGGCAGCCCCTGTACGGTAGGAAACCTTCTGAACAAAGGCTGCCAGGTTATCATGCAAATCGGCTGTTCAAAAGAGCTAATTAGGGAATGCCTGTGAATCAACTCAAAACAAGCGGGTACAGAACTGAGCCCAACCTCCCCCCAACACTGTGTTTGTTCTTAAACTCCCCAAAAAGTGGTACAAAGAAATTCACTTCATTTTTATGAAAGCCCAAGTCCTGTGAGTGCTTTGCTCACAGCCCACTACGCGGTCATGTCGGGCGCTCTGCTCCTTTTTAAGTAAAAAGAGAAAAGACAGGGAAGACTCCATTCCTTCCTACCCTGAGGCTTCTGTAGGGATCAGTCCCCCCTCTGGGGAGCTATCAATCCACCTCAATGATCCAGGCCTTGCTTTGCAAGCAGTGGGGTTACTGTGTGTGTACCGTCTGATCAGCTATGGGCCGGGCCCCAGATCTTTCCACTTCATTTGTATGCCTGCTAATTAACTGACCCACAGCTCAGTGTGTGCTCAGGAACTGGCGGGTGGATGAGAAGAAACACCGCCCTGTGCCTACCTCGGCAAAAGACACAAGCGTCCGGTCTCTATGTTAAGAGCTGTTTCTGAAATATATACCTCAATCCAAGTCTGGGGTCAGTTCTCTTCTCTTGTAATGAAATTATGGGTCACAAATACTATACTTTGTCATCTAAGGGACAATCTACCCTCCCTTGTCCCTTTAGAGAAATCACATTTGCTCAAGATCTGTACAGAAATGGGTTAAGTATAGCTAGAAATCTATCCTTTCATTCCCCACTGTCCATCAGCCTCTCACCCCCACTCAGCTCAGTCCACATTCATTCATTCATTTCATGGTCACCTACTAGACACTCTGCAGCCAGTCAAACCATCTTGCTGCAACCAGCATTTATAGTTTCCCTTTTCTGTACCAGAATGATGGGTCAAATAGCTGCGGCAAGCCCATATCACCCAATGCAGACAAGGGAGCCATCAGTCAAAACTGACCCAGGCATGGACTGGTCTTTTTTAGGTGCAAGGACAGAAAAATGAAATGAAATCCTAACTTCAGACTATGCTGTTATTGTTGTTATGTGCCGCTGAGTCGGATCTGATTAATAGCGACCCCTCCTTGCGTTTCTGAGGCAGTATCACTATGGATAGTAGATTGCCCTACCTTCCTTCCGAGGAGTGGCTGGTGGGTTTGAACCACCAGCCGTCTGCTTAACAGTCAAGTGCCTTAGGCACTACGCTACCAGAGTACTTCAGACTATAGCTGAAGCCTTTACCCTTTAGTTCCAATTAGTGAAACCTTTTACCGAACTGCCAGTTGAACAAGGCAGTTGAACTCAGCTGAATTGTACCTGGTTTTCACCTTCTCCTCACTCCCGCCCCAAATAGCTTGGCTTCCTCCAACACTGAGCCCCCTCTCAGTCCCACCACCCAACAAACCCAGCCCCGGCCGTCCCGCCGCCGCCATGTCCCGCCGACTCGTCGTGGCTTGTTCCCTGCAATGCATTTGTGTCTGTAACCCGCAGGGAGTCAGACCAAGGCTGCACAACAGTTCTCAAAGAAGCGCTCTTACCCTTAACATGGGTCTGAAAGGGTCTGTCAACTGTGAAAAGAAAATGACAACTTGGTTACACGCCTGTCACTCAAACAATTGCTCTAATTAACAAATTTGTAGTGCTTCATTAGGAGGGGAAATTAAAATGTTAGAATTTTACTTTTAAATGAAGCCCTTTTAGAGAATAATTAACCCATTTTCACACTCGGAGAAGTGCCAAGCGGCCCCGCCCCCACTCCCAGGCCTGGGTACAGCTATACCGACTAGGCCCCTGAAACTTCACTCAAGAGGCTCTGTGCTCAGGCTGCAGGATCCACTCACGTGACACAGGACAAGCATTTCATTAGCTTGGCCGCCCTTCCAAACCACACCAAACGGATCTGAGCGAGAATGGCTTTAGACTGGAGACTTTTAAGCTGGAATGTTAGTGGGTGTCTGGGGGAGCTGTCCTTTCAATTCTAACACACAAGTCACACTAGACTATCTTTACCAAGTCCCTTAATTCAATGGTTATAGGTTACCACCAGGGATTCACCATGTTAAATACGTTCACTAGGCATTGTCAAAGTACTTACATAGCTGAGTCATTTAAAACTTGTACCTAACACTGGGCATCAATTTCTGACTGCCCTTACCCAGGGAGAAAGACAATATTGTAAAAGGTAATCATTTCTCTTTTTTTCACATTGACCATGAAGATGTGCATATGCAAATAAGATACCAATGGGACAAGTTATCTATCATATAACTTCAAATTCTTCTTGGAAGGTGGTGGAAGTGTAATGAATAAAGGATAGAGCCAAAGCACACTGCATATTTTATTGAGTCCTGGGGCACAAGCGGATCCTGGTCCACACTGAGGACACAGGACCGATGTGTCATTTTACTGACATGAAATAAGGAAATACACAGAAACCGAAGATCATTAATGGTTGCCAGGGGTGGGAGGGAGGGGGAAAGAGCGAGGTTTTGCTTTGGGACACTAAGTCATGTTAATGAAGGTCAAATGATTTGCAGGTTAGCAAGACCAGTTCTACACTTGAAGAATGTAGTCAATGTCACTTAATTGTAGCATGGAGATGGCAATGTTTTGTTTATGTATTTTCAGCACAGTTTAAAAAATGAAAGAAAGAAATCAAAGAGGGCCAGAGAGCTCTGTGGTACAGTGACTTCCTGATCCCGGGAAACCAGGGGAGGTATCCTGACTTCTAGAAAGAGAATCACTTAGCACATTCCCATTCAAACATACAGCGAATTCTTTTGTGTGAAAGAAACGTAAGAAGAGGTAGACGCAGCAGCAGCAGCTACTTAAGTTCATAGCGTCCACCTTCTCGGCTCAGACTCAGCCCATCCTCTTTACCCATTGAAAAGCCATGCCTGATGCTGTATGGCCCAGGAGACCAACAGACTTGGTTTCCTAGAAGGGACAGTGACCGCAGGCATTCTCCTCAAACGAGGTAAGAAGCACTGTGCTGCCCTTCCTGTGTTCCCCAGCACACCCTGGTGTTACCTTAGACCAGCCTGACTTTGCACATACCCTCGGGTCCTTCTGGAGGAGAGTGTGTGGGACTGTCCCCGGCCGAGCAGCAACATCGATAGGGTTAGAGGTCTACGAACGAATGAGACCACAGCTTAGGTAGCTAGTAACACGTAACACTTAGAAGCAAGAGATTCCTTTCATTCTAAATTCCAGGAGGCAAATCTGGAGTTTCTGGTTGCTTGTTTTGTTCTGAAATACAAGCGTCCACAGATCCATTTTTCTCACTGATAACCCGTGCTCTTTATGACGACCTTCTGCTCATTTTCTCACGCCACACTGACCAGAGCATGTCTGCTCTGGTGATGGCATCTAAAGGCAGAGAGGTTAACCCTGCCACACCACACTGCACTGAACCAACAAGAGAAGCAACATACTACAAGCACTGACCCTGAAATGCTCCTCCTTTTTCTGAGTTAACTGACAGGGTTGACTGTAATTTCTTTTTCTTTTTGCTTTATCACCAAACACTCCAAGAAATGCTTAAGAGAACATTATTATAATTTGCACGATCAGGTGTTTCTCATCAGAATAACAAAGAATTTTGCAGACATTAAGCGAACACTCTAAATTTTAACTGGCAGACAACAACAAGAATTACACTCAGTAATTACTCATTAGCAGTGGTGGAGATGGGACAAGAGAACCTAATTTAGGGACCACACAGACCTACTATTAAATGATTTCAAGCAATTCTGCTTCCACTTGAGAAAATTGTCCCTATTCCCACCACCGTTCTTAATATCACTAATAATATTAACCTTATCTATAGGCTTTTGTCCTTGGAATTGGGGGGGGGGGAAGAGAAAGAAAAAACCCTACTTCAGGCACAAACAGTCCATTCAAGTGGGGAGAGGGTTCAGAAAATAACACCAGGCATTTTATTTAATAAATCAGCGCTCCTACAAATCTGTCCACACCAGGAAGTTAGACTGATGTGGCAAATGAGCTCGAGTTAGGGCACTGGGCTTGCCTATAAAGAGGGGAAAGGGAGAAAAAAAAGGAAAGAAAGAAAGAAAAGCAATCAACTGCAGTACAACTAACAATTAAGCTGGAGTTGTTAACAGCCTGATTTGCATACATATGAAGAACTTCACTAATGAACTGCCATCTACATACTCAATCAGGAAGACGGCCTAGAAAGGCCTATTTCAACACCAGGAGAGACACTTTCTTGCCCAGATGTAGTTTTCTGTGTGATTGGATAATTGTGAGTGAGGGAAATAGTCTAATTTATTAAATGACCTACCAGTCTGTTTGGGGAGGCACTAGAGATGTGTTCCGACCTACAGGGAGCAGGCTCAGGGGCTGGGGGAGTGGCGAAGGGCAGACTGCGGGGAGGGAGTCTACAGATTTTGCCATCATCTCACCCCAGGATGGGAGGTGGTGATGTGGCCTGTGTGAAAGCCCCGTGAACCTGTAACCTTGCGGTCTGGCTGCATGAAAACAATTCCATGCAGGTCCCTGTGGTTTCCGAGGCATCGCCATCCCAGTTTCTCTTCCCCTGTTGCTAGTTTTGGGCAACATGCCTTGAGAAGTGCGGTATGTGCTTGTCCTGGGAGATTCTGGCCCAAATCTGGTGTTTGGCCTCAACAATGAGACGGGGAGGGAAAAGAAAGAAAATCAAAGGCACACGCAACATCAATTCCTACTTTAAAAATCGGAGAGGAAAATAAGGATGCTGTGGTGGTTGTTAGGTGCCTTTGAGCCGGCCCCAGACTCAACACACAAGGAGATCAGATCGCAGTGATTCACAGGGTTTCCACGGGCTGATTTTTCGGAAGTAGATGGTCAGGCCTTTCTTCCTCTGTTTTAGTCTGGAAACTCCCGTGAAACCTGTCCAGCGTTCTAGTCAACACGGAAGCCTCCAGGCACAGACGGGGGCAGCTGTGCATGAGGCGGCCAGACAATGAACACAGTCTCCCTCCCAGAAGGCAGGAATTACGCCACGGACCCACCGCTGCCCCCTAAACCAAGTGCGGCTCTCTTTTGTACCGTTATCGACATGAGAAATACGTTTCTCTATTTTGGCATGAAAGCAAAATAGGAACTTAGCTATATTTAAAGTCCTACACAGAGAAAGAGTGTCTGAGAATCCCTCTTCAACCCTGCCCTGCACTGACAGTCCCCACCCAAAGTGAACTGGAACTGACCAGGCTGTAAATAACTTAGTCCTTATAAAGGGTAAACGTTGAATTTCGCACTAGGATGTTAGTAGTAACTGATGCCAGAGTCTTGACTTTGGCAAGTGTGACTATGGATGAGCAGTGGGAGAGCTGAGAGAGAGTGGAGGGGAAAAAGGGGCCAAAAAAGGTCACCGGCTGCCCTCCACCTGCAGGCTGGCCCTATTTGCACATGGATGGGGCTGATGAGGGAAACAAGAAAGAATCTTCCCCTACACAGTTAAGAGGGTACAGTTTTGATTTTAATGGCAGGAGTTTCTTTTCTTCATTCAATTAAAATCAATAAAGACTCAGATTGGCATCTTAGTGAATAGTATAGAACCTATTACTGTATTTAAGTACAGTATGGCTGGTGCATACTGTTAAGGATGGCTGGTGCACTTACGTCTGATATTTCACAAAATTCCTGACCAGAGGCTTATGCCCACAGAATCTGCGGGAGGGGGAAAAAGGCCTTGATCCTGCACATTTTAACGAGCACAGATAAATCCTTGCTCAACTGAGATTACACGGATATTCCAAGCTGAAAATTAAATGTTGGCTCAGGTGTTCCATGACACAGAGCGGAAGGAACACTCTGCCTCTAACCCTAAGAGTTCCTTGGGATCAGAACTGGTCACTGGGCAGTGGACAGGATGCAGAACCCGCTGGCGCTCCTAGCCCGGAGTTCACTTACAGACACGCTGCGTGTGTTTCCACCGGAAGCTTTCTTACCTTCGGCTGGAACGCTCCTTGTAGTGAACCAAAGGGGCCAGTGGGTGCAATCATGGGGGGGATGCCCGAAACTGCAGGAGGGTAGGAGTGGAAGAGCTGTGGCCAGAGACGGAGAGGGAAAACAGTTTAGTAGGAGGCAAATGGCATTTTCCAATTCCCTTCCCATCGAAAGACATCAACATTAGCAAGCCAAGTAATCTCACTTTGATGCTATTAGTCAAAGAAGCCAGGATGAAATGATCACACAGATGTGCCATGAATGTTTAACTGAAAAAGTTAAAAGTAGTTCAGAATCAATCAGCCAACAAATGATGTCCCAGATGAGGACATCAGGGGAAGGGAGCCTTTCTAATTATTAATTGTTAAATTGGATCGAAGTCCTAAATGGTTAGAGACTTTAATGCATATCAAAAACAGGAGGGGTGCTGAGCCAAGAAGATGCCCAGAAAATTACAAGTTAATTAGAAAAGAGAGAGAGAGAAGGGGGGGAAAAAAAGAAAAGAAAAAGAAATAAATAAGAAAAAGCAGCAAGTCTAAGAGTTCCAGGATTTTCCACCATTAAAACTCAATCAGTACTTTTAGATTTTTAATAGTTTGTGGAGGAAATAAGAAGATATTCACAATCCTTGCTTCATTATTCTAGAAGTGGTAGTTCCTGAAGACAATGTAATTCTCCTCTGAAATGATGACAAATATTCGTGGACGGCTGACATAAAATGATGCATAGATACTTTCAAGGAGCTGCCCACTTTTCTTGAAGGTGCCTGACAGGAGCAGGGGGCTAACCCAAGTTGGGGAGAAGTCTTATCTAACTGCCTGCTGTACTTGGTGCTGCTCAGAGTTTGGGGGCAAAGCACTTCTCTGTTGCTTTGTGGGTGGGGACTCTCAGGACTCGTTCTGAGTGGCTTCTGGGTCCCATGCCAGGTTCTGAGAGGCTGCTCCAGCCAGGCCCTTGGCAGGTCGGTCTGACCACTCAATGGGAGAGGAGGAATGAGTCTGCATTGAGAAGATGAAGTTTACTGAATTGGAAGCTCGTAGAAGACACAGCGGAGGAAGGAAACACACAGCCATTCTGAAGACAATGGAAACCCCCTTTGCCTCCTAAACACTGAGTGTTCTGAAATTCTCTTGTTCTGCCTCCAAAGACTCTGATCAAACACCAGCTGTGTAAGTAACACCTCACCCTTGTGGTTGCAAGATCTGTCAAAACTCTACGAAGAATGCAAGCTTTTCTTGGAACTCCATTTCTGCAAGCCAGCCCTTTCTAGCTAATGGCTGAAACACACATTTCACAATCCTATTGGTTTTCAGAGCACGTCTTTTTTTTTTATTTTTTTGGTGGTCTGTATCTCTTTTTTCTCCCTTCAGTGATGCAGCAATGTTTTTCAGACTAATTGATATTGAACTAAATCCACTTAAACAGTGATTGCAAGCCAAGTGCCCTCATTTAAAACTACTTTTAAGTCTAAAATTGTGTTTTAGATACTTGAATGCATTGCTTCTTAATTCCCCTCATAACGTCCTAATCTCCAAAGCACAGAGACTAAGTTCTTCATATATTACCCGCTATAACTGATCATATGAAATACCTCTCCCACAGTACACTGTGTAAAACAGAGTAATTAAACACACACTACACTAAAACACAGTCAGATTTCTATTACTCTGCCCCCAGGTGGGTATTTTTCCTTCAGTGTTTTCAGAAAAAATACTGGATGGTGTCACCACTTTCCTTTGTTGTTGTGTTGTTATGTGCCATCGAGTCAGACCCAACTCATAGCGACCCCTCCCCTTAGGTTTCCGAGGCAGTATCACTACGGAAGTAGATTGCCCCATCTTCCTTCCGAGGAGTGGCTGGTGGGTTTGAACCGCCAGCCTTCTGGTTAGCAGTCAAGTGCCTTAGCCACTATGCTACCAGAGCTCCCCAAAATTAATACTTCCCACTTTCCTTTAGCTTTATTCTATTACTGACCCTCTTAGACTAAAAACCTGAAGCAGCTAAGATAGAAAATTCCAGGCCTCCAGGCTTATTCCTCATCTTAAACCCAAGTCTTGTTCTGCGAAGTCTACAAAGCATCTGGTCCCAGGAAATCTACCTGAGCCCACCTGCTGGACATGATAAACTTTCTCTCAGACTTACTTTGTTAGCTGGTCCTTAATTAATTTATCGGAAGATACAAAGGAGAGAAATCCAAATGATTATCAAAGATGGCACCATTCACAGGACAGACTCAGAGAGGAAAGGCACAGGCCTGCTGGATTTTGCATGTCATTTACAAAATACTTTTGTATCCTCATGTGGAACAGATGGGCCTGGGACAAGAGTGGTGCAGAGCGCTCAAAGACACTTTCCTAACTCCTTTCTGAAAAAGCCTCTGGAATGTTACTTCTGAACGCTTCTAGATAATTCTTCATTGATTTCCAGTATTTCCTAGTCTTGACTTCTCAGCTACACTCAGGACTAATAGCGTGTCTAATTTATCTGGTTCAGAGACTGAATGAAGTCACAGGTCTTGATGATCTATTAAGTAACACATGTATTCACATAACACTATCTAGAAATCAAAACCGGAACAGTTGAGTATGGTGAGTCAACATGGCTACAAGAAATTAATAACCTTCCCTTTCCCTGGTTTCATTGAAAAAAAATGATAAATAAATCATTGAGCAAAGAAACTTGCAAAACTTCAGGTACAAACGATGCAGTATTCACCCCATAATCAAAATATCTTGGTCAGATGTTCAAGGACTTTGTATATAATGAAGTTCTTGTTTTAGAAGAAACTGAACATGTAACTTTGGATGGCAGCAATTAATGTTCCAAAATCTCTTAAAATTGCATAAAACAATCAAATATTTTTTAAATTGCATAAATCAAGGCTTTTGTTAAAAAAAATGAAGAAGAATGAGTTTAATGAGAAAAACATCATTCATTTAATTTTTAAGGCTTTTAAAATTTCAATAGTATTTTTCTTTTCAATTATAACATGCTCAGGAAAACAATCCTTTGTATCAGCCATGTGTAAGAAGGTTCTACATTTAATCTAGAGGAGATGAGAATTTGCTTTTTGAAGAATGGTGAGTCAAAAAGACCAAGGAGTTTCTATCTGGAGATAATAACTGAAGTTGAATTCTAGGCATTCTGCTTTCGCGGCATTTCAAGCGAAAACTGCCTTTCTGTGATTCCAGGCACCCCTGACACTGTAAGATCAACTACAGACACCCCGCTTTGCAGGACAGATGCCTCACTTAGTGCTGTCCAACTTGGCTCCAGAGCCTTAGGTGGGCATATGATCTTTTGATTCGGAAGGTGATACTGCATCTTGACCCAAAAGCGAAATGCCACAAAAGCAAGCATCCAAAGTGACGAGAGGGATGGGAAGTCTTGCAGAGATGAGGAGGGAAGGCTGCAAGTCATGTACTGGTCTGTGGCAGAGCACACAAATGGAACAGCAGGTGCAGTCAACGGTAGCAAGGCAATACAACTCACACTGTGCCGGTAGAATGGGTCAACTTTTGTAGGGTATTTGTCAAACTGCAAAGGGATCAAAGCAAAAGCTAGTTACTTAAAGAGTCTGATTTCTGTTCTCTGCTTCAGTGGAGGCAGCCCTGAACAAAGCCTCTCTGTCATTCCGTTGTCCTAAGATTCAACAAGCTCATTGTACGTGAGGCCATTCTAAGCGCCTGAGTCACTCTTGACCAATAAATAGATAAATAAAAAACCCACACAGGTAAGTCCTGGTCACACTAGTATGTCTTTCTTCCTACTCTGTATTTGGGTTGATACACGTCAACCATCTCTATTGGAGGAACAGACAGTTCTCCAGATAAACCAGAGAGAAGTGAGTATCTGCTCCGACTGATCCAGAGAAACCCCACCATGTCTGTGTTTGCTTTGGCAGAAAAACCGTTCATTCACTTGTCTTCTAAGATGTGTCACATCCAGAGACAAAACAGTCTGTGCAAGGTCTTAAATCATTCCTTTTGAACGGAAGAGAGTGTAATATCATTTCCTCTAAGTAATTTTACCATCCTGGTGTTTTAACTACTCTCAGATTTAATTGGCTTGTGACATTTAATTGTGAAACATTTAGTGGATGTGAGACCACAAACCCGTTCCCAAAATATTAGGGCCTTCAAAAGGTAAGTATCGAGATGTTCATCCAGAAAAAAGGCATAGAATTTGCCATAGGACTTTTTTTTTTTTGGGGGGGGGGGGGTCATAAGGTCTGATATCTAAGATTCTTTAAAATTAACTACATAAAGCAAACTTCAAAATTTTATTTACAGACATTAAGTTGAACAAAACTAGGGATGGGGAAAGAGAAGAAACAAAGTTTGATAAAAATCATGCCCCTGAAGGTCAGGGAGAAATCTAATCTACCCTCTTAACACCTACAGTGATCATCTTAAAAATCAAGTATTTCCTTAAACACTAAAAAATAGACAAGTAAAACACTCTAATACTCACTGTTAGACAGGGCTCTATTTTAGAATATATAGCATTCTACTATCGCATTATTATACTTTCTAATTAAAGAAAAAAAGAAAAAGAAAAAGCCAGCTGCTTCTCACAGTAAGTGCTAGTCCCCAGTGGGGATGGAGCCTGAGTCATCCATAGTCAGTGGTGCTTCTTACCACAGGCAGAGGCCTGTCCCTTCAGGGCGCACTGATCCCTGACCACTCAGTGACAGAGCACAGTCCCAGATTAGGGACCTGTCTTTCGAAATACGAGAAACAAAACACTTCCGACAAAGTAGGTTTAAGGGAACGTCTGAACAAGTGCATGCTTGTTACCCACTGCAGTCCAAGCCTTCTGCTCGGCCTTCTCCTGCCTCTCTTCCTGACCCTGTCATCAAAGTGCGTCTTTGCCAGCACTTAATGCAAAGCACAGACACGCTTTTACATATGGTGGGAACCCCCCCACTGTGCTCAAGAGAAGAAAACTGCCTTCAGGAAACTAACTACTAAGTCTGGAGGTGAGAGCTCCAAGTGGATCTGGAATAAAATGCACCCACTGTGCAAGATTTGACCGTTCAGGAAACATTAGGCCCAGCGTTAGAGCTGCCAAGGGGGCATGTTCCCTGCTCGCCAACCACGATGGCCAAGGCCAGTTGCCCCTAAGCGGCTCTCACGCCCCATGGGTCTCCCGTGGGCCCCGACAGCCCCTGCCGACCCCACCGTGCTGCACAGAGACTTGTGGTCTACTTATCCTCACATTTCTGCCTGGGGTACGCACCATGGGAGGTGCTGGCGTCGGCATGATGGCGGTGGGCGGGATGGCGTGGGGGAACGGCGTGAAGGTGTGCTGGTGCGTGTGCTGGTGCGTGTGCTGGTGTTGGTGCTGGTGCTGGTGGAACTCCGTGCGCAGGTAGGGCGGGGGGCCCAGCGAGGCCCCGCGGTCAGCGCTCTGAGAGGCCAGAAAGCGCGTGTTCAATTCTTGTCGCAAGATGTCTTGCTCTGGGAAAGAAGACACGCGAGACAATGAGACACCCTCCCTGGCAGCAGAGGGTCCTGTCCTTCAGATCAGGGCACCCAAGTGTCTTAATGTAGAGGGTGCCTCCGGCACAGCCGCTGTGGGCTCGAGGGGACAATGCACGAGGGAGACGATACAAGGGTCCAGCCACATCTGACTGTGCTGTCTAGGCTCTCAATGTGGAGAGATGACGGAAGTCCAGGCGAAACTGCCAGACTTCACCTTTTCTCTCCGGTCCTGCAGTGGGGTGACTGTGGCTGTGACAGCCTCCCAGCTGTATCTCCAGGTCATCTACAAGATGGAGATGATCGTTTTGCCTGCCTCGTGGGTTTGTTGTGAGGGTTATGGAATTAACATTGTTAAATGCCTAAGAACAGTGACTGGCTCTCATGTCCTCCTTGAGGGTCACTGCTCGTCCACAGTTCTTCACATCAGTGGTACAGTATAGTGCTATTGGACCCAAATTGGGACACTGGGTGTGATTCATACAGGCGAAGAGAAAAGGACCAGATGTTTAACATCAGGTCTGTCGCTAAAATTCTGGGATATATGGTCCCAATAAGTGTGTGTTCTTCCACCAAGAAGTAGGCCCTGGTCAACTAGAAAGAAGAGAAAATTCATCCCTTAAACTCACTGCAGGATCTAAGACCCTGGAGTTACAGAGACATGGAGTTGCAAACACTTTTCTTATTTGAATGGGAACCTAGACAATAGGGCAGGTACAGTCTGTGTTTTCCCAGCCAGTGTGTGAACTGAAAAAGGCCTGCAGACTTCCAACAAACCCATTCTATTTGGGGAGCATCTGCTTCACCCCAGTTGTAGTCACTGAGTATGGGTGTTTATATGGATTTTTCCTGAACCTTAGACCACAGAAGATTTGAGCAAGGTGACAAGAACACATATAATAAAGCAGAAAACTGTGAAGAAATAAAGCCCAGCCACCAGGGCACATCAAGGTTTACTCGTCCACCTACCTGAGTACGTGCTCCCGGCCGGGTGTCCGGGCACCTGCAGACTCCCTGATGTCAGTGGTGGTGGAGGAGGCAGAGCGGTGGGAGGGGCAAACATATTGGGGTGATGTGAGTGTGCAGGGGGCTGGAGGGTGGGTGTGAAGCTGTGTAGGGGGCTGTGGTTGGGCAGTGAGAGGGGGAACGGGGAGGCGGAGGGGTGGTGGGAGACGTGAGGAGGGGCCGGCTGAGTCTTGGCTGGCGTGCTGCTTCTGCTACTGCTGTGGGAATTAAAACAGAGAAAGAAAGGAACGTAAGCCGTTTTTTTTCTTTAAGAAACGAAAAACAAATCCTTTTCTGCAGGCTCCAGAGTCATTCAATACTTTCTCTCTGGTCTCTACCCATGTGCAGACCCTCCCTTGTCTGGAAAAGGCAAGCTTCTAAATGGCCACATCCCTACAGCATTATCCCCCAAGCAGAAATGTGTGCTCCAGAGTGACTGGACGTGGCGGTGTGGAGGCAGTCTATTCTGCTATCCTTAGAAACCCCCAGTCCTCCAGCCCCCATCCTCCACTGGCCACGTTTCCTACACAGATTAACCAAAAGGGACAAGGAAGAAAAGTCATGGTCTGTGTGTACCCTGACTCTGTGTCAACTTTTAAAGAGGGGCCGCAAATAAGAAAAGTCGAGGTAAAGCCTAGGGCTTACCCTGTCACCTTTATGGTCTGCAGGCCCCAGCAATGGCCTAGGGGACAGAGGCTGGCCCCTCAAGGAAGAAGTCTGCCTCCCTGAGGTGGCTTCTTCACCCACTGAAGACAGAAAGAGCATGTCTCTGATCTACAAACTTGAACCTCTCAAGGGAGGCAACGAGAACTTGAACCCAGCTGATTGCTGGGGGTCCTAACTGAACCCAGCCCTGCACACCAAGCCTGGCTCCCTTTCCTCTACAATTCGGCAAAGACAAGACTGAAGGCTCTCGGGTCCCATGCTGCAGGCTTCTCTCTCTAGGCCCAGAGGTTTCTCCTCAAGCCCTGCCACCATATTGGAGAAGGTCAACCACAATGAACAACCTCACACTGGGATGTTCCTAGGGTCCCAACCTTCCCACCTTGGACTCGAGGGAGATACCACTTTTGGCAAAGCTTTTTGTCAAACCTTCTTCCCAGGCAGGCTAACAGGTTCCTTTCTAAGAACCTCTTAACATCCAGTGACCTCAACGTGGGTCTCGGATCCCTGCCTCCCTGGTGCGGGCTCCCTGACACAGCCTCCTCAGCTCTCTGATCCTTAAGCCTTCTTCTTCTCCCTCAGGGGTCCATGTAGCTATTTTGTTCTTTATAATATCCTCACTACTCAACCTGACCTGTCCTCTCCCAGAGCCTCGAGCCCAACTGACTGACTGCTCCAGAGAGAAAACAGAGCCAAGTGTCCCCAACTAGGACACTCCCGACTCCTCGGGCATCTTGTTCCCACCATGCCCCAACCTGCCTGCCCCAGGAAGACGACAAAGAGCAGTGGGCTCACCTTAAACTGTTGAGGCTCACGCTATTGCTGCTGTAGGCAGACAGTGGCTGGGAGAGGCTCTGAGACGAGGGGTGGGCCTGCACGGGCGGCAGGGTCTGGTGGGGCAGCTGGCCGGGGGACTGTGGCCGGGGCGGCCTCTGTGCCTGAGGCTGTGGGGCAGGCTGCAGCTGGGCCTCTGGGGGGGCCTGTGGCGGCTGTGAGCTCGGAGGTGGGGCCTGAGCCGGGGCCTCGGGGCGCTGCACCAAGTCGGGGTGTGGAGAAGGAGCTCGGGGCTGGGCCTCCGCCGGGGGTAGGGGGTGCGGCTGCGGGACCTGCGGGCAGGGGTCTTTCAGCACCACGGCCTCAAAGATCGGCTCTTTGCCACAGTCCTGGCTCTTCTCCTGACTTCGCTCTAGACCCGATATCTTGGGGACAATCGGGCCTGCGTCCTGGCTGTCATGTTCGGGTAACGTGCCAACACCTAACTCTGGATCTGTAGGAAGAAAACCACAGGCAATGACACGTGAGGCTTAGAGGGGTCCCAACAACACGGCCTGTGACGATGCAGGGTGCACACATGCCGGTGACTGGGCTGATGGTGGACGGGCAGACAAAGTGGAGGGGCCTTGGACCCCAAGAAGCGAGCCTCCGGAAGAGACTGCAGGTCAGAAGGGCAGGCCAGGCTCCTGCCAGGCTGCCAGTCAATGTTCTCTTCATCTCAACTGGCTTTTGGGGAGCAACATGAAAAGACAAAAGCCAACAAGTTGACGCTCCTTTTGACAGCACACACACAGTTCTCAAACGCACAGAAGGGAAGCGTCTTCACCAGCAAACGAAGCCAGTGCTACGGAGCCACCCCCAGATGCTCCTTCTTGGCTTTGCCCCCACCACCCCGCCCCTGCCACTGGGACAGATGAGATGCACTTGACATTTGGGGAAGTCACTTTTTGTCTGGCAAGTGTTTACCGTCCCGGCCAAACTCGGGCCTCCAATGGCCCCCGCGTGATCCCAGTAACCCCAGGGTCAAAGGTGCAAACGCATACGTAACTCAAGTTCCCCATCAAGTACGGCTAGCACTAGCACTTTGAGGATGCCCCCCCGGGACTCTGTTTTGCTAGACATTTGTATTTTGCAAGATAACGTCTTTGTTTTGTCTTTTTAAAGTAAACCCTGAAGCCATTCTTCTTCAGCTCCCTTGCCCGAGAGAGTTTTCTTTTCTTTGCGGTCTTTCAAGTTGGGCAGGTTGAGCTGGAAGCCGAGAACACAGTGCAGTGGGCGGACAGCAGAAAAGTACATGGATGCCGCTCGGCCCGGGCACCCAGCCTCTCCCATGCCAATGCTGATGCCTACTATCCTGGGGCGAGGAAGGGAGGAACGCCTTCCACCTTTCCCACACTCCACAGTTGTGCTTACTCAGACCTGGGACCCCCAGCGCCCCTGGCTCCCCTCGCCTGTCCCTACTCTCTCCACTCTGTCTAAGTGCCATCGCAGAGCCCAAGAGACTCCGTGCAGGGAACAGACTTCTGGGGACAACCCGAGGAAAAGGGAGTCTGGGCACCAAGTATGTTTCACTCTCATCACCTCCTTCGCAGTGCCTTCCTACTTAGGCTTCCTCCAGGATGGGAATACCAAACCCAGGACACCTCCTTGCACCACTGAGAGGGTGACAAGGTGCCCTGAAGGCAGGCCCAAGCAAGCCACCGTCTTCCTGTTCTTTTACATTGTTTCCACTGTGACTTCCATTCAGGACACAGAGTCCCGACCTTGCTTGGCTCCCCAGGAGGGTGCAAAAGGCTAAAGCGATCGGCTACTGAGAGGTCGGTGGTTTGAGGCTGCCCAAGGGCACCTCAGAAGAAAGGTCTCACAGAATTCTCAAAAACCAGCCCCTGAGCACCCCATGAAGCACAGTTCCACTGTGACACGGGAGGGGTCACCACGAGTCAGAAATGACACAATGGCAATGGGGTTGGTTTGTGTGCCTGGCCTCTGTGGTGACCTGCCACTGCAGGGGCTGATTTACAAAGACCTGCTGGGACGAAGGGCTCTTAGGTGTTACCATTTCACCCTTGGTGGTGGGGTGCTGGCAATCCTGTGTCCCTGCCTGCCACTCGGGGAAAGGGGCATGTGTGACCAAGGCAAGAAGGACACAAGGACAGAATGAGAACAGGTAGGAAGGGCACTGATGGCGTGTGGAGAAGAGGGTGGTCCACGGCATTCAATGCAACAGCTTAGTGCCTTCCTTCTCAGGATGTGAACCCATACATCATCATCAGTATGAGATGATCCACCCAAGTGAGGACCAGGGGTGACATGCTGGACACCGAGACCAAGTCTGGACATAAAATATAAGCCAAATCCTACAACAATGAAAGGGATATAGAAAACAGACGCCGCGATGAGGATTTCAAGGATGTGTGGGTGGTGGTGGGAGGTGCTGGTGAGTTGGCTCTGACTCATAGCAACTCTATGTATAACAGAATGACACACTGCCCGGTCCCTGTGACATCCTCACAATCATTGCTACATTGGCGCCTGCGGTAGTTGAGGATGTACGTGAACATGACTGGGCTGTGGTTTTGAGTGGGTGGGCAGCTGGATGTAGTTACTCCCTGGGATGAGACTGTCATCTCCTGCCTGGTGGACTCTGCTGGGAGCAGCTGAGTAACAGCCTTCAGGGTGTGGTCTGCTTCTAGTTCATTTGGAGAAGCTTTGGGAGAGGTCTCTAGCTTTGGGGCACATCTAGATCCTGCAGTTGGCCTGCTGTGTTGCCTGCTAATCTCGGGACTGTGCCGTTTCACCTGCTGACCTTGGGTTCATCAGTTTCAGTAGCCAGCAGCTGCAGACTATAGGAGATACCCTCTGGCTCAGTGGGCTTAGAGTAAGAGGCAGAGCTGAAGCCCCAAGTCAAGGGCTTTCAGCCAGACCCTGGAGTCGGCACTCTGATTTTGGACTTCTAGCTTCCTAAACTAGGAGCTCTGGTAGCGTAGTGCACTTGACTGCTAACCAGAAGGCTGGTGGTCCAAAGCCACAGCACTCCTCGGAAGGAAGGTCGGACAATCTACATCCGCAGTGATACCGCCTTGGAAACCCAAGGAGGGGTTGCTATGAGTTGGGCCCAACTTGACAGCACATAACAACAACAACAACAACAAGCTTCCTAAACTGTGAGAGAATAAGCCATCCTCTCGTGGTACGTCGGTCACAGCACCACCAGAGAAGCCAGCCCGAGCCCACTGCTGCAGTCACTTGTCAATCCACATCAACCTGGGTCTTCTTTTCTGCTGTCCCTCCACCTTACCAAGCATGATGTCTTCACCAGAGACCAGTCTATTCCTGAGAACACATCCAAGGTACGTGGGACGAAGTCTTGCCACCCTCGCTCCTAAGGAGCATTCCGGCTGCACGTCTTCCCAGATTCGCTTGTTCTTCTGGCAGGCCACTGTGTATTCCAGACACTTTGCCAGCCCCCAAATTCAAAGGCATCAATTCTTCTCCATCTTCCTTATTCCAATTACAGTTATGCTTCTCTCCAAAGGTGAAATGATCCAGGAGCCACCTAGTACTGTGGTAATCTGCTTACCCCGTAAGCCCAATCCCATTCACTTCTCCATCAGAATAATAAAAGAGCAGTAAGGCATTGTTGTTGTTGTTGTTATGTGCTCTCAAGTCAAACCTGACTCATAGCGACCCCTCCTTGGGTTTCCAAGGCAGTATCACTATGGAAGTAGGATTGCCCAACCTTCCTTCCGAGGAGTGGCTGGTGGGTTTGAACCGCCAGTCGTGTGGTTAGCAGGCAAGTGTCTTAGCCGCTATGCTACCAGAGCTCCCAGTAAGGCATTAGTGTGGAGGAACTTAGGAGAAAGTACTTCTGTGTGCCAAAAAAAAATCAAAAGCCAAACTCACTGCCAGCGAGTCGATTCCCCCTCCAAGCGACCCCCTTGGGTTTCTGAGGCAGTAAGTCTTTATGGAAGTAGATTGCCCGGGCTTCTTTTGCAGAGTGGCTAGCAGGTTTGAACCACCACCTTCTGGTTAGCAGTCAAATGACTTAGGCACGATGCCACCAGAGCTCCTTCTTTTGTATACAACAGGGGAAGAAAGTTCTCTTTCTTACACTGCGCGTCTAATAAGATAGATCTTTTTCTGTGATTACTGTAACAGGAGAGGAGATTACAGTGTTTCCCAAAACCAGATGTCTTTCTGCGCTGTGAACCTCCCCTTCCTGTCGCACTCTGTCAAGTGTGGCACTCTCCCTGGTTGTGGTAATTTGCTGCTGTAGGGCCCTGTATACACTATTGTTTGTCATTTTTCCCCGAGGAACTTCCTTCAAATTCTTTTCAATGTTCTTCTGGCAAAACTGTACACAGAGAGCAAACCTGTGCGATGCATAAAAGCAGAAACGAACCCTGGGTTTAGAAAACAAAGTGCATTTCTGACTAACGTGAACTTCTCCATCTTCAAGTTCCACAGAGCAGCCTAACAACAATAAAAAAGCAAATCTGCTGCCATCAAGTCGATTCTGACTCACAGAGACCCCCACAGTGTTTCCAAGACTGTAAATCTTCACTGAAACAGACTACGTCATCTCTCTTTCACGGAGCAGCTGGTGGGTTCGAACTGCCAACCTTTTGGTTAGCAGCCCAATGCGTTACACACAGCACCACCAGAACTCCTCACAGACCAGTATGGAACAAGTGGACCAGCAAGGTGGGAAGGAAGCCCGCCTAGTGACGTCACTCTAGACTTTTGACATCACACTCACATGTTTCCTTCCAGGGCTTTCTACAAAAATTTTTCCTTATGCCAAAAGCTTACATTTTATGGATTCCCAAAACTTTCATTTCCACAATTCAGGGCTGCAAAAGAACCTCAAGACTGACCCTTAATTTGAATAGCCCCATTTTCCGAGAAGTGCTCAAAAACGACACCCAAACCAAACCCACTGCCAGGGAGTTAATCCGACCCACAGCGCCCCTAGAGGACAGAGGAGAACTGCCCCACAGGGTTTGCTGTAAATCTTTACAGACATCGACTGCCTCATCTCCGGTAAGTGTTTACCCTCCTGGCCAAACTCGGGCCTCCAATGGCCACTGCGTGATCCCAGTAACCCCGGGGTCAAAGGTGCAAATGCATACGTAACTCAAATTCACCATCAAGTACGGCTAGCGCTTCTCTGATGACTGCTGACATTTTGGTTACCAGCCGAGCGCTTTAACCACGGCGCTACCAGATGACAAAGGAGGACCCCTTATCTGTGGATGCCCACACCCAGGTGAGCTGGCTCTGCTTCTCCCTCAATGCTGTTCCTGTTGGCGTCCACGGCACCTTCCACAACACACACCTGAGTGCTTCACGTAATGCAGGCCTAGTACTTAGGGGGCCCTGGGTGGTGTAAATGACTGGTGCTAGACTCACCTAATGGCTGGCGGTTTGAACCCACCCAGGGATGCTGCGGAAGAAAGGATTGGAGATCTTCATCTGGCACAACGACATCCA